GATGTTCATTGAAATGAAAAATAAACAAACTAAATTTTTTTTTTAAAAAAAAGGTCTTACCACTAAGGCAGCAGAGATATCTTAAAATCAGGGTATCAGTTTCAAATTGTGTTCCTGTACATAATGTCTATGAGCAACATATTTCCCTTCTTTGAACCTTGATTTTCTATTCTAGAACTAGACCAATAATAGGAAATGGCTTAAAGGGATATTATAAATCTTAATTTGAATAATAAATATGAAATGTTGAGATGATGTCAAATAAAGCATAAATCTATTTTAAAAAACAAAAGGATGAGAGAATGAAAATGGAAACAAAACCAAAAACCCACATTAGAATCCTGTGGGATAAGATTAAACAAAATAACAGATGTATGATTGGAATTCCAGAATAGGAGAGTAAATATAACAAAATGAAAAAATAAAGAAGCAAAAACAACTGGAAAAAAGAGCAGGAGTTACTAGAAGAAAGCTTTCTACATAAAAACCAGGTAAAAACACATAGCAGAAGCCGAACAAATCACAAATAAATTCTAACCCTCTCTCTAAAAATAATTTTCAAGGCACATCATTGTGAAACTTTCCAAAATGAAAAACAAGGATAGATAGAATATTAAAAGCAGCACAAGAAGAAATAGAGGCACCTACAAGAGAGAACCAATTAGATTAAGCTCTGATATCTTAGCAGAAATGAGGGAAGAAAGAAGACAATGAAATAATATATAGAGAACACTAAAACAAAACATTTCTAGCTAAGAATTCTGTTATCAGCAAAGCTGTCCCTCAAATACAAAGGAGAATTCACATCATTTGAAGACAAACAGAAACTTAAGGAGTTAATGAAAACAAGACCAACTCTACAAGAAATATTAAGGAAAGTCCTTTACACAGAGACATCAGAGGAAAGCAGATGAACCAAGAAACCAGCAAGAACAAAGAAAGGAACACTGCAAAATGACAATGATATACACTAGCCGATTAATAATCACATTTAACGTGAACAGCTTAAACACATCAATTAAGAGGAAGAGAGTTTGAGAACCCAGAAATGGACCCATCTATCTATGGTTAACTGTTATTCAACAAAGAAAGAAAGTCTATGAAATGGGGGAAATCACAACCTCTTCAACAAATGGTGCTGGCTGAATTGGACTGCTGCCTGCAAAAAGGTACAACAGGATGCACATCTCATGTCACATACAAAGGCCAACTCAAGGTGAATCAGAGACCTGGAAATAAAGCACAAGACCTTAAAGTTCATGAGAGACAAACTGAGACCAAGTGTGGAGGCATGGTCTACGGTATAACACAGCCAGAAATGCGCAATATGAAAAGGATAAAATTGATGAATGGAATGTTCTAAATATTAAATCTCTATGCTCATCAAAATCTTTTCCCCATAGGTTGAAAAGACAAACTACTTACTTGGAACAAATTTGTCAATACCATCTCAGACATTGATCTTTAACGAAAGTTTACAGAATCTTACAGTGTCTGAAGAAGAAAAAGACTAAAAATCAAGTTACAAAATGGGTAAGAGACATGAAAAGACTTTTAGCAGAGGAGGACTTTGGGATGGCCAACAGACACATGAAGAAATGCTCCAAATCACTGGCAATAAGAGAGATTCAAATCAAAACCACAATGAGATCACACCTTACCCCAGTAACAGTGGCAAAGTTTAGTAGGGCAGCAAGTAATGAATATTGGAGAAGATGTGGTGAGACGGGAATTCTTATACATTGTTGATTGGATTGTAAAATGGTACAACCACTCTGAAAGGCAGTTTGATATTTCCTCAAAAAGCTGAACACAGAAATTCCATATGATCCAGCTACTATGCTGCCTGGAATATACCCTGAGGAAATAAGAACTGAGGCACAAATGAAGACGTTTATACCAAAGTTTATAGCAGCATTACTTTTATAGCAAGAACATAGGAATGACAATGGAATGGATTGAGAAATTATAGTAAAGTCACAGAACAGAATACTTTTCAGTACATAAGAGCAATGATATTGTAAATTACTACCTAACGTGGGAGGGACTGGAGAGCATTATGTTAAGTGAACTTAGTCTCATAAAGATTAATACTGTATAAGACCATTATTGTAAAATGAGTATGAGGATGGGGAGAGTGTTTAATCATAAGGTCACACAATTTGATGGGTAGAGAGAGGAGTGAGTAAAGGAAAAGAGAAGATCTTGTGTGGAAAAAAAGTATATACTTTATGAATTCTGTGATTAAACTAGTATACAATTTAAAAAAAGGAGAAACAGTAGCAAAATGGATTTTTATAAGAACTCATAAATATGTGCCTGCAAAAGACACTTTTAACAAGCAAGAGACAAAAAAGTCAAAGGCAGGGTGGGAAAAAAA